TTGATTTGGCGATATTTCAATTTAAGATTATCACGAACTTTTTTATTGACTATTCTATCAATTTTACGTTTTTTTTTTAAATAATGGTTTTCGATTAAAATATAGCCTAGATACCTTCCAACATTGCTCTCTATCAGCTCGTAAAGTATCATCACAATCACTTTAGCCATTCCATATTCAATATTTAGGTTAGACGTACACAAGAATAACACTTCCTTTTTCAAACCTGTTGTCAAAATGTGCCGTGATGCGTACATTCGTAGTAACCTACATCTAGGTATATTTGATAATAGCCTTGTTAGATTTAAAAGAAATTTACGGGTTTCTCTTAATTTTTAATGTATTTTTTTATCTTGTTTATTTTTATTATTTTACTGAAGTTATATTATCATGCTGTGTGCACGTTTTTGGATTGTAGTTTAGATCAACTCCATCATACTTTTAATTATAGAACTGTATATAACTACTATCTATTTGTTTACCTTATTCAATAAAATTAAAATTAAAATTCCGAATATTAGTCCTTGGAGACGGACAAAAATTACAAAAATAATTATTTATGTCGTAATATCATGCAAATAATCGCCTGAGCTTAGCGGAATCCAGTTATTTCAAAATTAAAGACAGAGACTTATATATTATTCTTATCTATAGATATAACTTTACTCTTATTATAAAGATTTAATATTGAATACACCAAAAAAAAAATAGGTATACTAAGAAAGAGACGATCAAGTTAATAATATAGTAATATCAGTTATTAGTTATGCCTAACGTTAACAAATACAATATTTATTAATTAATTTTGAAATTTGGTTTCCGACACTACTAGAAATGATACTCCTATAACTTCTAAATTACTTAAATTTAACCAACCTAAAAACTTTCGTTACGGCTAATCAAAAATTCTTTCAAATTATTGCTAGACGTACCGGAATTATCCACAACGCCCATAAAACCTCAATTCTTATCTTACAGATCGTTTGGAAGTAGTAAAACTTGCGGAGCGGAATTTCCCACTGCGCCCATAATTTACGGTATTCCTCAGGGACAATACTGGGTCCTCTGTTGTTCTTAATCTAAATAATTAACATCAGTAAATTAAACCTCAAACGATAGCTAGCTAACCTTTACACAATTAAATTATCCAATATACCCAAAACGATCTGGATCTTTTTTATGTTTGGCTTCAATGCAATATTTTAAATTTTTAGCTATATAAATTTTAATGAAATTTATATAGCTAAAAATAAGAAAAAATATATATTGATAGTTAACGGCTGAATTATTTTATTTAATTTTGTTCTTGACTAGCGATGTGACGGCATCGCCTGGGTTTATTAATATGGCGTTATTCAGATTTTAGATAATCATTAAAACCCATTTATTTTATCAATAATATCAAATATGGTCTAGATCACTCCTGTCCTGCAGCTTTCTCTATCTTTTTGTCAAGTTTTATTACAACCGGTTCAACAATTACTAAGATTAGCCTGTAAAGTCAGACAGACAGACAGATAGACGTACAGACAAAATTTTAAAATGCTTAATCATGCTATTAGCATGCTAATAACCTCCTCAGTTCAATGTAATTTAAAATTAAAAATTTTGTATAACCAACTTCAATATATATTTTTAAGAATAACTCAAAAACTATTGGTCAGACCTTTATCAAATTTACATGGGACCACATGTTCAATATTCTTTTTTATTCAATGCAAATAAAAAAAATCATCAAAATCGGTCCACCCCGTAAACATTTATGAGGTAACACACATAAAAAGACATACATTCGAATAGAGTCTCCTTCTTGAAGTCGGTATAAAATGCAGTTATTTCGATATTACGGACAGAAATCATCCAGAATCAATCAGGGTCGGCTTGACCAGGGGGATCACGCTAAAATAGCAGCTTAATGCTGCTGTATTCCGTACGGTGAGTGTAGAGGACTCTTTTTACTGGAAATGAGGCATTCCAGCTTAGTTCTCAGAGGTGACAACGCATCTGTATTTTCTTTATTAATCGATGATAGATGTAGATGTCTATGGGCCACAGCATCTACTTACTAAAAATAAGATGTTTCTATTTTATTTATTATCTTATGTCAAAATTAGATTTGCCAATGACACAATACTAAAGTCTCGTCCATTACGGAAACGAACAAGAACTTAAGTAAGATAATCATGTGAGCGTAGATTTATTTTTGTGTTCTCAGCGAAAAGGATCACTGAGACTTCAGGGCTTGAGTCTGGTAGAGGCCCTATCAGATGTACATTGATCCAGCGATGTACTTTTACGGGCTAACGGAGAAGGAAAATATTGACTTATAAAATGCGTGCGGTGCTGGAAACAAATATTATATCAACACATGCCACAAATATTTATTGAAACGAGGAAAAATTAAATAATAGAATCTTTATTTATTATTTTATTTAAATTCTTATGGAAAATTATGTTTAATTTCGAAATGCATAATCAATTTTCATTATAAACAATGCCAAATATTGTTCAAGTCAACTTTTAATATTTAATATTATTTGATTATATAAATATGTATACAGCTAAGCCTATGTTCAGTAATGAATTTGCTGTAATAATGATGATGATGATACAGGTGATTTACTTTGTAAGTTTTGTAGAGACCCTGTAAGTTGTAAGTGGCATATGCTTAGCTGTGGATATATGTAGGACTGTAATGATGATGATGGTTGTGGTGGTGATGTTAATGACTATTATGATGATGGTGGTGGTAATGGTGAAATAATGACGGTAATGATGACGATAATATAATAACAATGTTGAAATTTATTTACTTATGTAAATTATATTATTTCTTGATTTAAACATGAAAGTTTCAAAGTTTTATTTAATAAATATATATACAATAATTACGTATTTAGACATATTAAAGCCAATGTAATTTTATGATATAAAACATTTAAATTTATTTTAAGAGCGCTATTTAATTACATTTAGGCCTGTGATTGTACCAATATTAATTTTGCAATGAAGAAATAGATCGTTCAATCTAATGCCCGGCATACTGTCATCTAGCTATATACAAAACTTTCCTAATATCTATTACGTATCTATCTTCGATCATGTCGATGTAACAGATGATATTCATATAACTCCCTGCTATCTATCTGACAAGTTATAGCGTGTAAGCAAGGGATAGTCACGTTGGTATCGTAAGAGAGAAATACGGATTTTATTAGTAATATAATAGTTTACTGAATATTAAGTGGATCTCTTTGATGCATTTGTAAGCATTGCAAACTAAAAACACAGCTGTGTTGTCACTCATGTAGAATAGACCTCGCAATTTGTGACACTAATTCCCTTATACTTTAAATCGGAACCCAGCAGCGAGTAAAGAGTTGTTTGTCGTTTGAAAACCTAAAAGGCTTGTACTAACCCAGATAGACCCTCTGCGGAAAAATGAACTTCAAAAGTTACATGCATTTGTATAATTTACACAATTTATGCATAATTAAGAATAGACCTCGCAATTTGTGACACTAATTATCTTATACGTTAAATTAGAACCCAGCAGCGAGTAAAGAGTTTTTTGTCGTTTGAAAAACCTAAAAGGCTTGTAATAATCCAGATAGACCCTTTGCGGAAAAAGGAACTTCAAAAGTTACATGCATTTGCATAATTTACACAATTTATGCATAATTAAGAAAATTTAATATTTTATTCTATTTGTTCCTTTTCAAATAATATATTATTATTTTCTCTATGGTTATTAGACTTGATGTGTATGCTGCGTATAGATAGTATAGAAATCATCCTTTATAATGTGACTTAATATTTAAATTTTAATTAAATACATTTTTTTAAGTTTAATTTACAATCATACAACAACCTTAATTAATTCCTAAGTTTTACAATTGTGGACAATTTTTTTTCCTTATAACCAATACTCTATATATACTATAAAGTTTTGTAACGAGACAATAAATATACTTTTATTATAGTTACACTACTGAATGATATGAAAATAATAATATATAAAAATATTCTTACCATAGCTTCAGAAGATAGATATAATTTATTGTATTTCTTAATTAATGCTTTAAATAAAATTGGCACTGTGAAAGTAGTAAGTTCAATTTTAAAATCAAGAAGCGTGTTTTACTTTAAAGAGTTTCTTAATGATATGATACCATGGACGTATACAAATAAAGAGAGCTGATAATTGCCGGCATACTTTAATATTTAGTACGCCACATATCAATAAGTATAGCAATAGCAAGGCTTATATATTTACCTATATCACAAACCTTTTGATGCATAGCAAAAGTGACATTTATTGATTCTCTAGTATCTATAAAATATTATTTTTTATTATTTACAGACTAACAATCAAGAATATATAGTTTGATATGGGACAGTCAATTTTATTTGTGGTTAGGCTTGCTTGCTACCCTTTTGGTTGTTTTTGCACACGATGATGATCTAACAATGTTTACGTTACAACTTTTCAGTAGCTTAAGAAAAAGTATTAATAACCAGTTATAACAAACGCTTTATTTTTTTATTATATCTATTCTTCAATAATTAATTAATTTCATACTGAAATCTATGAATTATAATTAGATTACTTATTAAACAATTTATGTACACTTTTCACGTTACTTAATAATCTTAAATTCGTTATGTTTCTTCAAAAATATTCACTAAACTATACCGTACCTTGGCACTTATCTCTTTATCACAGATCCTTAAAGATGCCTTTCATTTAAAACTTACGTTTGCGTCATTTATCAAAAGTGCAGTGACTTTGCTAATTCTTAACAATTAGGTGCGGATCACAATTTCTTAGAATCACCATGATAAATTTTCATTATTGATCCCACTACAATAATATATTATCCAAAGCACATACTACAAACTGACGCTATCGTTATCTCTTAATTTAGTCATACATACGCAATTCTTGAAATAAGTTTGCTTAGAATCTTCGCCATAAAATTTCATAACTACCATAACTACTAAAAACCTTGCGGTGGTTTGAAAGATTCTCTCTTTGTTTCTATAGAAAGTTTACGGCGTTTCTCCTGATTTGAAACGCCGCTTAAATCTAATGAATAACTATGTTTCATGGTGTGAAGTTTCCTTGAGATTTCTATTGAATCGTCTAATATAATATCTTCATTTGAATGTATTTTAAGACCTTGAACACTACAAAGTTTTAAAAGACCCTTGATATTGTTATTTTTAATTGTTTGGCTAAGAAGGAGACTTTCTGATTCTACTATTTTTAAAATTAAAGGATTATCGGCAAGCTTGCAAGGTTCAACAAAGGACTCCATATTAGTGTTGCTGTTATTGGAATCATCATCATAGACTACATCACCAGACCTTTCTACATCTGATGCTGTTTTATTTTCTTGGATTATTGATAATTCTGGAATCTTTGGATAGTTTTTGCTATTGAAATCGCTTCTTGTAGCATCAGCTCGTTCATCAGTAGGAATTTTATTTTTTTCAGCTCTCTGAGGTGTAGTCAATAAATTCGATTCCGAAATATTATATCGTATGGTAATTTCATTTATTGCAGACAGCTTTTGAGATACTATAGTGTTATGATATTCTTTTTCTGTCGGTGAATGTCCTTTACTATGTATACCAAAAACACGTCTTATAGATTGGCGAAACTGAAAAGAAAACCTAACATGATATATTTAATATTATAAATTATACCAATTAGAAGGTGAATAAATCTGCGAGATCAAATTAAATGATAAATGAGGCTGACCTGTGTGTTCATTCCAACATAAATAAGCGGATTGTAGCAAATTGAGCTTTTTGCAATAAGTGCTGGTATGACACCTAAGCCAGGCGAAATCTGTAACAATTGCATAAAACGCTTTATTAGTGCATTATTTCACATCTTTAAAAATTTCGTTTATGCAAAACAATAACAAAAATAGAATTTCTTTTACTGTTAATATATGGTTTTGTTTTATTAAAATTAAAATTGTATACAAACTTAAAACTATATTCAGTCCATCCAGTACAGTCTATGAAATTCCACTGCTGAACAATGGTCTCCGCCATAGAATGCCTCATAGTGAGAGGCGGGTTGGTAACCGCAGTTTTATTTTAACTTTGAATTATTTTATTTATAATAACATTAAATTAAAATTATTGCTTACGCAATCTAAGAATGATATAGTGCTCAATTCCATTATTAGATCAAATAACATCTAGAACTGCAACGCACTGTGATTCCGCTTAGAAATATGGTTCAGAAATGACGGACAAAGTGTATAAGTAATATAATCTCTATGTTATGACTGGTTTTGAGCATGACAGCATTGTCTTAGACTTGCGCTAGCTATCTTTGTGTGTGTGTGTGTGTGTGTGTGTGTGAAAAACATCGCCGCTAATTATTTTTTCACTGCCGTATGGATAAAATATTATAGCGAATAATTATTAATTAAACGAACACAAACAGTATACGGAAATTTGTAGTTTATTTTATAGGATAGGGCGACAAACGAGCACACAGTCCACCTGATGGTAAGTGGTTGCTGTGGCCCATAGACATCTACATCTATCCTTGTTTGCGAATCAAAATGCAAATGCATTGTCACCCGTGAGGACTAAAATGGAATGCCTCTTTTCCAGTAAAAAGGGTCTCCAGTTCTCTGCACTCACCATGCGAAACACAGCAGTGTTAAGCTGCATTTAAGCTGGTATTCTGTGAGAGCGTGGTCCTTCCCCGGTCAAGCCGACCAATTCGTGCTACATTTATACTACTAATATAGCTGCAGCAATGCCCTACCATGCATAAAAAAGTGCATAAAGTGGCACGTATAAAAAGTGCTTGATCAGTTACTTCCAAAATTACGAATTGGTCTTCGAATAGTAATAGTAATCATCATTCTTATAATACTTGTTTCTGTGTAGTCACAACTATTTTGAAAACTCTTGTTTGAGTACCAATTTAAATCAATATATCTAAAGTCCGGGTGGTATTTAAATATGAATAAGTAGTCAAAACTGAAAAAAGTTACCGCCATTTTATTTGTTTTCTGGAACGTATTTTTCTAGGATCAATGTATCAAAACTTCAAACAATAAACCTAAAAGAAAATGTACTAATATATACAATATAAGAGTTTTCAAAATGGCGGCGATATTCTTCAGTTATGACGACGAATCAATATTTATTCTCTATTCATATTATACTCAGCAATATTGATTTTTGAAAGCAATCGGTTCAGCGTCGTAATTATATGTGAAAAAGACTTATCGCTTCCAATCGTATTAATCTCTGGTCGTAACCTAGCTCTGTTAAAGTCATTAACTATTAACATTATTTATCTTGTTGTTAGCTTATTATACGTTGAAATATTGTAGTTATTCATTACTTACTATTCCTTCTGTTGCAAACTGTTCCGTTAAAGCGAAGAGAGAGTACGGTGTCCAAGCAATAGTAAACGCTACAATCATTAAAAAAATCATAGCTGTCGCTCGAGATTCTGCACGGCTCACGCGACCAAGTCTTTCTGAATTCTGAAATTTATATTTCTTTAAACAGTAGTTCAAACGTTAAACAATGTCTTAAGACACACATTTAATACACGATTATTGAAAGAACTATGCAATTCGATGAAAAAAACAAAAAACATAATGTGCAACAGAATTTAAAATTAAACATTTTGTACGTCGTCAATATAAATTATTAAGAATAACTCAAAAACTATTGGTCAGACTTTGATCAAATTTATATGAGACCACATGAGAAGCACCAGCTTTCAAACAAAAAACAAATCGTCAAAATCAGTTTACCCAGAAAAAAGTTATGAGGTAACACACATAAAAAAACATACAGTCGAAATCAGTACCGTCTCCTTTTTGAAGTCGGTAGAAAATATTAATTAAGCCTTTTTATAGCTTATTACGAGTAAAGTAAGCCTGAGTGTGCCCACTTATATTTAAATCATGTTTTCTTGTAATGATTTTTGCAACAAACTTAATGAAATATAATATCTACACATCAACTAAATTTTTATTTATTTATTTATTATTTATTTATTTATCTTCACGCACAACCCCTGACGGGGTAGCCAGAGAGAACAGATCGCCAAGTGTCACGATCCTTACATATCTCTTTCGCTTCTTTCAGATTCATTATCTTCTTCATACATGCACGTCTAGGTATCCGAGTACTCTTGACCCTACCCTCTTCGAGCAATTTGCTCACATGGTCTTCGAAAGTTAGTCTCGGTCTACCTCGACACCTTTTAATATTAACTTTCGCGCTATATATTTTCTTCACCATTCGGTCTTCACTCATTCGCTCAACGTGCCCAAACCACCGAAGCACGCCCTTATCAATTTTTGTGATAAGGTCATCTTTCAAACCTGCCATATTGCGAATCTCTTCGTTTCGCTTTCGGTCGGCCATAGTAACGCCGCACATTTTACGAAGAGATCGCATCTCCACTGCATTCAACTTACTTTTATGCTTCTTCTGGCATACCCAGGTTTCGCTGCCATAAAACAAACTAAATTTTTAATTAAAATAATACCGAATATACAAGAACTTCTTTAATTTAAGCACAGAATTAATGATAATTATATACTAATAGAATTCCCTGGTAGGTATCATTAATTAATTTCATTTCATTCTTGTTAGGTGCTCACTAGTGCATTGGTGCACCTGGTGCGTTTAGTTTCATGATGCCCCCAATAATATATTTTTTTTTAAATTCCAGAAAATTATTTTGGCCTTGTCCGAAGTAATCGGTATAAATACCATAATTACTAGCAATAGCATATTACGACATATTTTGATTGCAAATCAATTTCTACTAAGTATTATTTCTATAAAGTATATCAATACACTTATCCTTTATAAATATTATGCGTGAGAAGCATTTCAGATTCAGCAGAGAAATTCATCAAGTAAGAAATCTTAAAACATAAAAGCAATAATTCTTAACAATTGGTCCTCAACCTTGAATATACATACACTACATATAAACATTCAAAATTATTCAAAAAGATAAGTTTACCATAAATACCTTTTTTAAAGTCCGAATGATATTTATGTAGCTGAATGTAATCACAGCCAACGGTACGATCTGTCCCATGGCAAATAGAAACAATATATATGTTAGAGTATTTGTAGATTGCTCATGCCAATTCACGGAGCAACTGTCAAAGTAAAGAAAACATTCATTGAATGTTGTTGTTCAAACAGTCATTTAATGCATATGAGTATTTTAACAACTCCGATATCACGAACAAATAAATCCAATGGAAAGTGTAAAAAAATTAGTGGGGTAAACAAAAACATTAATGTGAAAAGGGGCTAAAATTACGTACAAACAATGTTCGGGGTTGTCGGTTTCGCCGATAAAAGGCCGAATATCAGCGGCCTCTTTTATAACTTTATTAATATCAATATGATAATCACTTTAATAGTACATTGCTTCGTATGTTTTATGAGTCATGGTAGTCAAGGTAGCAAAGCCATATAGAATACGCAATGTACTTCAAAATGTAAAAAAAATAACAAATAGGCCTGCTGAAGATGTAACAAGCTCAATAGCACTTGCTTAAATCATAGTATTTATATGAATGTACTGCGTTCCTGGAAAACGATACAGATACTCTGTTGAATATTGGCTAGATCTCAGATCAATATTGTTTGACTGGAACTTTATCTGTATAGCTAGATAATATTCGTTTTCCTATTTTGATTGCTGAATTTCATTAATACGACAAGTAACAAAGCTTTTAGTTGGCAAATACTAACTATTTTATTTTTATAATGATTTCTTATATTTAGGCGAACACTACACATTGAATAAAACTACTTTTACGCATTCTATCGCGCATCTATAACCCATATAATAACATGCGGTCTATAACCTGTCAAAACAATCTCTGGACGACGCGAGAATAAAAGTTTTGGCCAAAGGTATGAATTTCGCAATAACACCCCGAAAGTTGTCTGTAAGTATAAAAATAATATTGGTAATTAAAGATTCAGATGCCATACGTCAAGACATTTCGTCTATGTTACGTCGAAGCTCAGCGCCGAAATTACATCTTCCCAAAGATGAATTTAATGCATTGAATAACTTACGCAACAGACCAGATCTCAAAATTCTCCGCACGAATAAAGGTAATGCTACGGTTACAATGAATACGTCAAATCACAATTTTAAAATAGAACAACTTTTATCAGATGAAAGTACGTACAGAAAGGTCTAAACAGGCCCTACAACTAATACGTTTAAAACAACTAGCGATCTTATTAATAAATACTCCGAGAAATTGAATTTATACGTTAATTCGATAATACCTGCGTGTGCCAAATCACCGAAGTTGTATGGATTACCAAACCGAACGCTCAATTACGTCCAATAGTGAGTCAGATCGATTCGCCTACTTACAGATTGGCTCAACTTAGCAAAAATACTATCACCACTCAGAGGACACACAAGAACACACACTAAGGATTCATAACAATTTGTCAGTGAGATAAAAGACCTATGTCTTACTGACAATGAAACTATTGTCAGTTTTGATGTTCAGTCTCCATTTACATGCCATCTCAATTGTAACTAGGAAACTAGAGGAAAATAACATGTCAGCAGAATATGCAGTATTGCTCAGACATTGCCTTACATCTGGCTATCTATTGTGGAAGGAAGAGTTTTACAAGCAAGTAGATGAGTGTCGCTATGGGCTCACTGGTATCTCATTTTTTGTCGCCGATATATTCGTGGAAGACCTGTAACTCAAGCGGTACATAAACGATACTTTAACAATTTTACCATCAGATAAAGTAACTGTATTTTTAGAACGTTTTAATTCCATAAACTCTAAAATTCAATTTACTATGGAGTTAGAGGCAAATAATCCTTTAGCTTTCCTAGATGTATCAGTCATTCGAAATCCTAACAACACCATAAGTCACACTGTGTATAGAAAAAAGACCCACACAAACCAATATTTAAACGGTGAATCCCACCGTCATCCTTCACAGTTAACTACCGTGGACAAATCTTTGTTACAGAGAGCACGAGGTATCTGTGACAGCAAACACCTAGCCGCTGACCTTCAGCATGTCAAGCAAGTTCTGCACGAGAACAAGCTTCGGGTCCCGCGCCTACGTCACAGTGACCGAGTGAAGCAGACTACAGTCGAGCGTGTGCCTGCTTTAATACCATATGTCAGAGATGTCACAGAAAAGGTTGGCTACATCTTGAAGCGAGCCTCTATTAGAACATTCTTCAAGCCGCCGAAGAATATTAGTCGTCCGTCATGTGAAATATCCCTTTACAAGATGCAGGAGTGTACAACCTTGATTGTGATGTGGTTTCTCAAAATATAGGGCAAACAAAACGATCTATCAAATCCCACGTAAAAGAACACATAGCTGACGTAAAACACCAACGTTCCGGGAAGTCTGCAATTTGTGATCATATCCTAGACGGCCCCCGCATTTGTGTTTTATCAAATTTAATGTAATGGACATTAGATTTGTTAAACCACAAATGCTCACGAAAGAAAATCGATTCATACCAAGTATGATACGTGAGGCTATTGAAATTAAAAATATTCCTAATTTCAAAAGAAGGAGAAGCTGAGTCCTGCCACCTGCTTGGGATCCTGTAATTAATAAAATTAGAACTCAACCCTAGCACAACACCCACTGCAAGACTTCAAGACAAAGTAAGTTCATTCTGCGTAGATCGGACATAAACTAATAATTAAAAAAGCTGAAGGTACTAAAAATAAGTTAATTAAATGCGATAGAATCCGTAAAAGTTATCAGTATTTTTCAAAAATTACTTTTAAACAAATACTGAAGCACAAAACTAATATATCTTTTCCCAAATCTACAAATGACATTCTTAACTTTTACTACTAGCTTGTACTAACTATTCATTGACTTGTCAAATACATGATTTGCCCTTTCGGTAGAGAGCTGTCGATTTGCTTAATCATTATACTTGAGAGGTTGATTGACGATTGTACTGATTATTAAATCGATTTAATTGAGAAATTGGGGGCGACCCTACGAAAAGAGCCGCGTTGATTCAGGGTTAACCGTTAGCCTAGAATTCAATATCCTTCGACACCAAGAAATTCATAACTGCAATTTTAAGCACTGATTTACCATGTGCTCATCAATGAAAGACAACATCGAGAGCACTTGCATTTTGAGAGAAAACAGCATGTTTATGATATTAATGAAGTCTTGGACTTTTGAAGTCCTACAAAATGCATATAGGGGCAGCGAGACATACTTTTCTATGCTCTAATACTATTTGGTAAATGAGAGGAGTTTACACTCAGCTGTGGGACATATTATGTATACAATCTTTATGCTATAAGAATAAACAAAGACTTATAAAAATTATACATGATGATACTCCAAAATTATTGATATGGTAAAATTTGAGATATTGTTAAAAGATTAAGAATTG